CTTTTATGGGTTTTTGTTTTTGTGTTTTTAGAATTCACTTTTATTTTTTATTTTTATTTTTTTTTTAAATTTTTTTTTAATCTTTATTATTTATTTTTGAGAGAGAGAGAGAGATAGAGTCTGAGCAGGGGAGGAGCAGAGAGAAAGGGAGACACAGAATCGGAAGCAGGCTCCATCCAGGCTGGTAGCACCGAGCCCGATGTGGAGCTTGAACCCACGAACCATGAGATTGTGACCCGAGCCGAAGTCGGGTGCTTAACCGACTGAACCACCCAGGCACCCCTAGAATTCGCTTTTAAAAACTCTCCTGGTTTTATGCACAAGTCCCAGACTCCTAATCCGGCTCATAACTCATCTTAAGTTACATGGGAATCTCCTCAAGCCTTTGTTCGATTCTTTGTGTGTGAAGCATGAAAGTGTTGCCGCGGTGTCACCAACCGGAAAATAATCAACAAACGTTACACAAACCGGGGAGGTGCATGGAAAATTAGCACAAAGAGGGGAGCAGTCTTTCATCAAGCAAGCTCTCCTGTGACAAACTGCAGTGCCAGCCCTGGGTTCGGGCACAAGACCCGGGTTTGAATCACAGCGGTGGGATGGTGTCCGGTCAGTCACTTAGCCCCTCCCTGTGCTCACAATACTGAGCTCCGATGACCAATGCGTGGGCCCAGTGAGATAATGCACGGCCGCACGCTGCCACCGCGAAGCGCAATCTAATACAAGTGACTTCTCTGAGAGAGCCGGAGTCACCGTATGCCCCCGGTGCTAATGAGAAGGGGCTCTCCTTGCAGTCTCTGGAAGACACAAAGCAAAGAGAGCATCTGACTCAGGGAATCATACCGACTGGCTTCTCTTCAGAGCCTGGGAAAACGGACAAGGCCTGAAGCAGAAGCCAAGGGCTGGCATCATGAGGCCAACGCATGCCCTGATCTACCTTAAAGTGGTTTGGCCTTTTCTCCTTCCTGCCGTCCGTCAGATCTTTAAGCACACCCCTCTGACCTTTTTAGCACACACTGCCGTTCTCAGGTCTACTCCTACCCCTGCCTTCCTAAAGGGGTCTTAGACCACCGTCAGAGATTTGTCAAGGTGGAATTCAACGGCTACTGTGAGGCTGGTTCAAGACAAGGCCCTGACATCGCTAAGGGAAGGACGGTCCCATGGGTTCCCCGGGCACTCGGCTATAGAGCTCGCCAGTGACTCCCGAACAAAGAGGGAAAAAGCAGCTCAGGTCAGGAAATGATAAAATTTCTTCACCTGCAAGCTCTCAAAACTAAGCTAGTTTCAAATGTTGGCTTTTTTTGGCCAACGGCCAACAGGTCACGTTTTCGCATGTGACAGGAAGTTCTGCCTCACTGAGCTACGGCCGCCTGTACGGAACGGCATGTGCTAATGCATGGAACGCCATGTGCCAATGCCCGGGAGCCCATGCCGGGCACTCTGGAGCACTACCTGTCAGTCCTCGCTGCTGACCGCTAGTCAGCGGCCACAAGTAGTACTGTGAATCATTACGCGGCCAGCTATGGGCAGGGTATGCTGCTTTGCACTTTCTGGCACCGCCCACAAGGTTGTAAACCGTTGACCATAAAAACAGGACTGTGGTTTAGTAACCGCGATGCCGGATGTCACGGATCGAAAGGCTGGAGGACATAGTCTTGGCTTTGCCAGTAATTTCCCGTGTGGCCTTTCTCTGAGGTGCTTTAGAAATCAACGAGGGAAAAAAAAAAAAATGTAACTTATGTATCGATTTGTTTTCACCTCGCCTCCAAGAGACCTGGGAGGTAGACGACCTGCCACCGAGTCCCTGGATTCTCACGCGACGTGTGCGGAGATGCACGAGGCCGGCCACGTGAGAGGGGCGTTTACGGACGAAGGACTTACGTGGGAAAGCTTGTTGGGGGAGTCTTTGCAACTTGAATCTTTCTGCAGGGCTCTTTCCTTATAGGAGCTCAGGACTTTGGAGGGTGGGCCATGCCATTTGGTTTCTGTCGCATAAAGAGAGAAGAGGAGAATATCTGGTTTTTCGTGTTAACGAGACAGCAAAGCAACACAGAAGCCGAACAAAATGGTGTGGAGACAACGAGCGGGACTGTGGTTCTAGACCCTTCTGGTCTCCCCAACGGATACACCCCCAGGGTGGGCGGGACCACCACCAGAAGGTCAATGTTCCGTTGCCACAGGCACCACAAGCACAACCACCCAGGACGAGGTGCCCCGTGGCGTCGGAAGACCCCGCCGACCACACGGGCTTGCTCCCACGACAGTGCTCACCAAGTGGGCTGAGCCAACGGACGAACGAACGAGTAAACAAGCGACAGGAGGAAGGAGGGAAGGGGGTTGAAGAGCACGGAGGAAGGCCAGTTTACCAGCCGGGTTTCTCATTACCCAGATGCCTGCTTCCTTCCAGCACCTCCTCCCGCTCCCTGGCTCCTTCACACTCCAAAGGGCCCGCGCCCTGGTGCTCGAGCAGCAGGGGAGACTGGCACCTGCAAAGACCACAGAGCTGAGTGGCCGGCCGGCCGGCCAGGCATCCGCGGACACATCCCTTGGGGGTGCTGCTCCGGAATGGGGGCGCGGGGGGGAGCCCTCAGCAGAAGTCGTGTGCCGGCCCGGCCCTGCCAGGTGTGCTTCAAGCGGCTGTAATCGGGGACCCTACGGTGTCACTGCTGGCTCAACAGAGGCGCCTGGATGACAGCCATTTACAGACACGAAAGGGCTGCCCATGCCAGGAGGTGGGAGGGCTGTCCAGGGTCAGAAAACCTGTCCCCAGTAAGCCAAGGAGGAGCTCACTGCTTCTGTTTCGTTTTCTTCCGCTTTCCTTCCTGCTGAGAATATATGGAACCGATACTTCTTTATGTTAATGATTTTAGGGACAAGAAAGTAAGACTGTTTCGCTATAGACTACATCTCGGTGGACTCCGTGGTATGAAAACCCCAAAGAGGGCAACGTAATTCTACAAAAGAAATAAAGGACGGGAAACTTCTTCCTGTTACAAAATGATTCTTACTTACAGAATCTGGTTACAAACATCGACTGCTAAGCCTAAACCAAAGGGATCCAGGGAGAGACATTTCCCTCTGCTTCTGTGAGAGCAGTAACGAAGTTGCTGTTCCCCCAGCAAGACCCTTCTCTGCCCTTCTCTGCCCTGGCGGTTCTCTCCTCTCCAGACTCAACTGCAAAACAGTACGTGGCATGGGGCGCCTGGGTGGCTCAGTCGGTCGAGCGCCCGACGTCGGCTCAGGTCGTGATCTCACGGCTCGTGGGTTCGAGACACGTGTCAGGCTCTGTGCTGACAGCTCAGAGCCTGGAGCCTGCTTCGGATTCTGTGCCTCCCTCTCTCTCTGCCCCTAACCCACTTGCATTCTGTCTCTCTCTCTCTCTCTTAAAAATAAATAAACATTAAAAAAATAAAATAAAACAACAACAACAACAACAACAACAACAACAAAAAA